TGAAGTCGGATCCCTTTCAGAAACTGCAATGGCACACACAAAAATAACTTGCACCTTGGATATTAATCTGGTTTAATAAACGCGCCCACACCTGTATACACATTCTTCCACACAATTGTAATAATCATGTCCTCTGTCAGGCGGCTTGGGAGAAGCAGATGAAGGAGGAGGGGACTCCCCTCACCAAGTACTACACCCAGTGGAAGAAGCTGAGGGTGAAGGAGATCCAGCTGGAGATCTCCGGCAAAGACAGGGTAACTTTCCAACCAAAACATACCAAAATGTGCTTATCCCACTCAGTCACCATGAATCACTTCTGTCTTTTTTTATTATGAAACTCACGGTTACCCACAAGAGAGATCTGTTACATAAATCATGAAACAGTCATGCAATGTTGTGGAACATTTGACTGGCAGAACAATTATTAATGGTCAACTTCATTAACACAATGAAATCAGTATTGTGTGTTTACCCTGCTGTTTTGTGTTGTTTAAAGATGGAGGATCTGGAGCTTCCAGAGATCAAACGCAAAAAGACTGAGGACAAGAAGGTGGAGGACAGCGATGCAGAGGAGGATGACGGAAAACTCAAAATCAGAGGCAAGCTGATTCTCACATACACTAACTCATATTGAAACAGGCATGTGTTGGCCTCTAGAGGGCTGTGTTTTGTCACAGCCTGGCGTTCTGCACTGCAAAAGCAAAGTTGAAGAGGTGATGACAGTTCAATCTGATTTCTAGGCTGTTATCTTCCATTCTGGCCACTATATTAAAGATTTGGCTGCATGAAGCCGATCACCTGCAGAGCAGTTACCACCAGGCTCTGAGTTTTTGAAACATCCACAGAGACAGTTTCTGAGGAGCTGGAAATTCAATTTCAAATTAAACTCAGGAGAAAATCTCTGCTCATCAGATAGTATTTCTCGCTCTGCATGAGCCTGATCTTTCTTTAGTGTGTCTCGTCCTCTAGGGGTCGTCCACAGGTCACAGACATCTGCAACCTCGCTCTTACAGCTTTACACTCGGACACGCTTCCAGCTGAATAAAGCCCTCCGCAAGGTCAAAGAGGAAAGGAGTAGGAGGAAGGGGGGGGGATTTTTTTTTTTACATCTGGACTTCATTGTAGGGAGAGTCCCAACAAACGGACGGGCAGCTGCCGGCAAACGACGGGCCTCCGCCTCTCACTCTGTCCACCCCTCCCTCCCTCCCTCCCTCCCTTTCGTTCGTCTTTCCTCCACCCCTCCTCACACGAGCTGAAACCCCTCGACAGGAAGTACAGGCTTGGATCCCAGCGGGGGTTTCTAATTCAAACCAGCCCAGTGGAACAGCCAGAGGTGGCCGCTCCCCTCTCTCTCTCTTCCTCTTTCATTCTAGCTCTCTCGCTCCCTCTTTCTGGCTCTGTGGGCTTCGACCAGCTGCCCCCGCATGTCCTCGCAACACATGCGCACACAAAGACACGCACATCTCGATGATAAACGCACACCCACCACCTTGTCGTCTAGTCCCAAATAGCCAAAAGCTTTTGAGCCGCTCACCAAAGCTCTTTGTGGTCTCACACACACCCGGAAAGAGGGGAAGTTTGAGAGGAGGGGGCTGATGATTTAGATTGATCTGTGTTTGTGTGTGTGTGTGTGTGTGTGTGTGCGTGTGGTGTCAGTGGGGCTAATCAATCTTCCAGGTCATTTGGGGGCGACCTCCAAGGTACTACTGAACTCTGCTAGCACCATGTGAACAACGAAAAGTGGGAGAGTGAGAGTATTGTTGTAAACTTAAATTAGACAGGAAGGGGAGTACCTGATGCTTTTAGACGTTGTTTATCTGTGTTTGTTTAAGTGTGTGTGGTTGTGCATGCGTGAACGTGTATGTGTGTGTTTGATGTGTGTGCTGCAGTGTAACAGACAGAGGAAGTAGCTCTGTTTTGCTTCCCTCTCCTCCACGCCCCCAGCCTCTCATCACACCTCAACTTCAAAGCCTGTGGACCCCAGTTGTCCCTTTGGCTAGACAACACACACACACACACACACACATATACATATACTGCACTCTGTGTATACCACAACACAAATTCATCCAAACTTCCAAACTTCTCTCTCTGGCGCACACACACACATCATCATCCTCGTAGCCGTGGAACCTGCCTGCTATCTCCATTTGCTATATTTAGGCCTTGAGCACAAGATGTCTGAAATTGCCGGCAGTAAACTGTCATGGGTGTTTGTGCAGCGGCAGCGGCGTCTGTAATCGACTCTCAGTTCCATCTCAGGAGGAAATAGACACTTCCAGCTGCCTCTGATGCCTGGCCCACATATAGGTGTCTCCGAAGTCCTCAGACGTCAGCGATGAACCAACGCTAACTTAGGAATGTCTGAAGAAAGCAACGGCAGACAAAATTAAATGTAATGTTTTTCACTGTCTTTCTGCAGGGAAAAAAGACCGCCGTGGGTCAGATGATGATGATGATGACGATGACGATGATGTTCAAGGTCTCTATGACATGAGCGATGACGAGGAGGGCGGAGACTCAGGTTGGTACAGTATTAATCATGGTAGCACACATTTGTAGTTGACAACGTTTTGAAAGGGGTTTTTGGCTGTGTATTTCTTCACTCAGTATTCAGAAGAGACTGTTTTGATGTACACCATCAGAGCATTTATATAAAGTCATTACTAAACAGACTGGCAGATTATATAAAAGGAAACCAAGTTTTTATAATGGTTTTTATTATAATGCTTCATAAATGCTAAACATTTATGGAGCATTATAATAATTTGATGATTGTTAATTTATGATTAGCCGATCAGGGCTCCTACAGCTAAAATAAACTACGGACGACATCTGAGGGCAAATCAGGACATGAATAGGGAAATACAGTTTCAACTGAATCATATTGTTGTGATTAGATTTTCAGTTTAAGATGCACATATTCATTCTTATTAATGAATGCCTTAAAGTAAAAAGTCAAGTATATTATGTCATTTAAAAAAAGTTATGGTTTAGTAGGGTGAACAAAAGTCATGGTCAGAATATGTGCAAATATTCCTAAAGAAGTAATTAATTTGTTTGTCGTTAAAAGGTCATTGTAGAATAAATTATAAATCCTTATAGTTATACATTAATATATTGAAAGAAAGTCATACTATAGTATATCCAAAAAGTCATAGTATTGTATTTTGAAAAAAAATCATGCATTAGAATGTCAAAAAAAGTTAAATAGTTATATGATAGTTTGTCAATAATACATTATTATGTTATAAAAAGGTTGTATGTCAAGTAAAAATCCATAACCCTTTAATTAAAACAAATGTTGGTTTAATAAATATCTTATTTTTCCTGAAACATAGTATAGCATTCATCACAAATATAGTAAATTATTTACAAAGTCATTGTACTGTTGTTAAAAAATATATATATACTATACTAGAGTAGGTCATCCAACCAACTTTACATTAACTAACATTGATGAAAACTCAGCAATTTCTTAACATATTACTTATGTTAATGGTTAATTGTACCCAAAGTTTATTAAAACATCACATATTTTCTAAGATGATTGAATTCAATGGTTATAAGCACCTGCTGGTACCCTGGCAGATAATAAATAAATAAATGGTAATTCATTTGTCAGATAAAACTCCTCCTGCCCTATAGGGTGTCTGGTACATCAACAAATGATAAATGGCAACACAGGGAAATGGTTGTATGTACATTATCTCTTAAAAGTAATGAATGCACAGGTGATCAAAAATGTTCCTCTTGATACCTGCCAGTCTCTCACATCCCCGTGTCTGAAGTTAAAGTGCTTGCCGTTTGTGTTCCAGATGACGATGAGGAATTGGCCACCACGGCCCCCGAGCCCCTGACCGCTGCCGCTCTGACAAAGCTGGCCGAGGGAGATGAGGATGTGGTGGAGGACCTGCAGCTCTCTGACGATGACTGAGGTGCATGGATGCACACACTCGTCATCTACATTATCAACCTTATATACTCAGAAAGATATTGGACACTTTTTGCTATTTTCCTTGCTTTTATATGTTCTATTACTTCACCTGTACAGTAGAAACATGTTCATGATGTAATGTTATCAAGCATTGAAATTCTGAAAACAAAATTAAAGAACCCTGATTTCATTTGTCAATGATTATTAATAATTTTTGAAGCATGTAGATGCACAAGTGCACACCTGTACGCAGCCTCAGGCTCTGGGAGGCCAGGCCGGCCGGGGGGGGGGGGGGGGGGGGGTTCAGAGAGGCGGTGTTGAGCCCTGAGGCAGCAGCGCTGTGCCAGCCTGGCAGGGTGGCGTCTGATGGTGTGCCAAGACTCTCTGCCCAGGTGGTGGAGCAGCAACACAGGCTGGTCTGTTTCTGTGCCAAATCCTCTCCCACCCCCCACCCAGACCACTGTCTTCTGTCTCTGTGTTCACATGCTCAGACACGGCTTCACCACTCCATCTTCTCCCCTTTTCCTTTCTCTACTTCACTAAATTACGGTGATACTGGTCTTTGTTTGGTGAACAATTATTGCATGCATTCACTGGTGGCCCAATAAAGGGCAGAGCAGTTGTTTTGTTTGGGTCTAAACCTCAGTGGAGATTTGAGAATATTTTTTTTGTCATCACTTTGCCTCTGTAGTTTTCAGTGAATACAGAACCTTGTGGTGCAGGGGCCCAGCCTAAAGCGAGGGGAAGTCCCAGCAGAGTGTGCTGCTTCGGTGTAAACTCTTTGAAGGTGGATGGTAAGTGAGAGTGGGGGCTGGTTATGGCCCTGTGTGTGTGTGGATACGGAGGGTCAGGTTTATCCCCACAGGCAAGGGAGGCCTTGGCCTGCGGCTGAACCTCACACTCTGACAGCTGGTGTTGACCTGAACTGTACCCCCCCCCTCCCCATTCACACACACATCAGGAGACCACATACTCCCTCCAGCACGTTTTTACAGAAGAACCACAAACACCTGAGGAGCAAAAGGCGTACATACGTTGGAGCACACAAACACGAGAGAAAGGAGAATTTCTGTAGGATTTATTTCACCTGTGTGGTGAATAGAAAAATAGAATGAAGACAAAACTTTTGAAGGGAAATCTAGAGACCATTTTTTTTAATTCATTGCTTGCGTAGAAATTAAAAAAACAACAAATTCAAAACATTTGCATTAAGAGCTTTGTGCCTTTGTCTTCCCTGCAACCAAGAGAAAACAAAGTAAAAGTATCTTTGGGATCCATCTTAAGGGCTAATTATAATACATATTATAATCTGCTTTATCTACTACATCAAAAGTCCTATAAATATTTTTTTTCCTCATATTTATATGCTGAAGTAGCATTTGAGATTGGAACATATTTTAATATTACACTTTTAGAAATGGCAAAACAAGAGTATGAACAAAAGTACCAAAGTTCAGCAAGTCACATTTTTCTTTAGTAAAGAAAACCTTTTTCGTGCAACTACATTTAACAAAAAGTAAAAGTACCACGTATGTAACCTTCAGGATATTTTCATCTTTAAGCATGATTCTGTACAATTTTGCATGTTTATCCTACCTCCCACAGTAGTCAACACGAGCATTCAATGACGCAAGTCGCCATTGAGGCTTCTCCATTTCACCAAAATGTTTAAGCCTTTGTTCGTCAGTAAATGACAGCTGTGTCACCTGGAACACAGGCCATGGTGAGAGGCGCTGGCCTAGCACTTCCCTGTTGGACCAGTCTTTCTCTGAGACCATTAATGCAGAAAGAAGCAGACACGTTGTGAAACATGGTTTCAATTCCACACATCCGGTCATCTTTGGTATCGGGACAGAGGAATGCATAGTTGCAGTGATAAGAGGGAGCTGGTGGAGTGCTGCTCAGCGTATGCTTTAACTCCAGCCTCTAAAAAGACTGCTCCACGCTGCCTCAGGAAACAGGAGGAGGGAAGGAGGGAGAGGAAAAAAGGGGAACGGCATCTCTTTTTAATTCCTGGGTTCTATAGGGCTTGTGGTGAGAAAGACAAGAGCTTCCTCCAGCCCAGGAAGGAAGGAAGAGTTTCCTCCAGCGTCTGACTGTCTGACTTGCAAGAATGTCGCATTTGTGGCAGAGCTTCGCTCCTTTTTTTTGGCAGGCTGTCTGTGACCAGCTGTCTCCTTTCCCTCTGTCCCTCTGTCGCTTCATGTGTCTCCCTTCCAACCCAGTTTGTTTGGATTCTGCTCGGCTACAGCCACCGCAGAGGAGCTCAGAGGCTGATTGGTTTGTCGGATACGCTTAAAATGTCTGTTATTCCAGTCCAATATTGCCCCCTCAAGTTCAGCATAAAGGTCCCAAGGTGGGGGGGTCTGGCAGAGATCTCTCCGAGGCAGGTCTCCCCTCCCCTCCCCTGCATGTCCTCTCCTACGAAGGAGTTTTGGCCTCGTATCTCCCCATGACCACGGAGCCATTTTCCTGCTTGGGTGAAGAGCACCCTGGGGTGGGGCCACGATATGGAGAAGAGCTGCTGCTGGTGGAGGTGGGTCTGCAGGGCAGGGACAAAGAGAGAGGTAGGGGCGTGTCAGATGGCGTTGTAATAGGGTCCCGATCACGTTCAGGGGGGCGCAGTGCAGCAGAAGGCGGAAATGGGAAAGCCAGCGGAAATCCAGTCATGTAGAAAAGCCTGCCAACACGCCGCGCCACCTGAGGAGAGGAGAGACTGTCAGTGCTGCCTGTTGGGTATTATGGGATGGACTAATGCTGTTTACTTTATTTTAAACGGAGAGAGAGAGAGAGGCAGCAGCCTTTGGGGGTGGGCTGGTTTACAGGAATCAGCTATGCTATCAGTTAGTCTTAGGCCTATACACAGAAACACACATTCAAACACACACACACAAGTTCACTCGTTCACACACGCAGGCCTGTGGTGTGAGTACCTGTGAGCGGATCTTGAGCGCCGGCCCCAGCTTTAGTCCCATGGTGGTGAGCAGGTGCTCCTCCGTGAGTAACGGTAATGTCTCTCCATCAATGGCCTGCTCCCGAAACACCTGGCGGAGAGACAGCCGCTTCAGCCACAGCCCGACAGAAACACACTCGACACACAGCCTACACATTCATCCACACAACCTACTGCACAGTGACTGCGCTCCTAACGTTATATACCCAGTGTGAGAGGGATATATATAGCTAAAGATGATCATTCAACATTATTTTTAATTAAGGGGAAGGCTTTAACCGTGTGCTATCAGAGCAGTTCAGCTATTAATAACAATCATAAATGTATCTTCATGCGAGTAGTTTAAAAAAAAAAACTATTGTAATGGAAATATCATTTTGAAACAATATATAGCCTTACACACACAGGCTGCAATCATAGCTGCAATTTCAAACAGGACCATGTATACATACACACACACACTCACAATACTGTGCTGTGCAGTGCTTCTACCTGAACAAAATGAGATGCTATACACAGTAGTGTTGCAGTATATATTATATTTAGGTCAGTGTTCTGCTATGTTCAGTAGTCAGCCTGCCCCTGGCCCCCCTCTTCTCTCTCTCTCTCTCCTCCCCCCTATGTCCTCACCTGTGTGTATTCAGCACACCCAGCCAGGCTGCTTATGAAGCCGCACACGTCCTCCACACTCCACTTGCTGATGTCCTCCACAGGGTTCGCTGTGGCCGAGTCCTCTCCATCCATGAAAAGACCTCCCACAGAGCCTGAGGGAGCAGCAATGTGAAAATGATGTGTCAATAAAAACACACCGTACATAGTTCAAGCTGCCTTTAAGAAAAATGTCCACTCTTTTTAAGTGTCCCTAGTCTTGCAATTATCAGGTTCTACATCACAAAAAGATTACAGCAAGATCCTCAGTCTAAATAGCAACAACTTTTTTTCTTCTGATATGAGTTGTTATGAGTCAGTTGGAATTGGGTCAGTATTAAATTATTTTTTATTATTTTTATTCTGTGGATAGCTGGCATGTTTGGTTTGTAATTGAAAGTATAAATTGTAATAAAATGCCTGTAAGAATCTTTCACTGCCCAACCTGATTTAATTGATAAGTGTTAGGTTATTTTAATCCAACACACACATATTCAATGTAAACTGATTAAATAAACAACTGAAAATGCAAAGGTGGAACAAGTGAAAGTTTGTTCAAAATTGTTCAGCTTTATTTCATTCACATCAACTCAATTATAGCTTTAGCTGCTCCTGGTGGGATAAAGTTAGTTAGTCTTCTTGTGTATGAACAACCAACCCCAACGCCCCCGCCCACGTGGCTGTGCTGCTGCTGTGCATGAGGGTCACACTGGGGTCAGAGGCAGGGCCCCTAACAGGGAGAGGTCTCCACACTGGAGACACGCACACAAAGAGTGACGCTAATGGGTTTCACATGTCAGCTGTGTGTGTGTGTGTGTGTGTGTGTGTCTCTCTCTCTCTTACCCGTGTGGAAGTAGGGGTTGGTGTAGGGGAATCCGAAGGGCAGAGACTGGGCGTGCAGAGCAGGCAGGGGGGGCATGAAGCCTGGCGGCAGGTGGTACTTGACGTCAGCCTTGCCCAGTCCGGAGGTGAAGAGGTGCCTGCTGGGAGACTCTGTACCTGCTGAACCGCACGGGGGGCTCAGCCTGCCGGAGCTCTCTGCAGGGTCTTTGGCACTCACTCCCTTGCTGCCTCTCTCTCTCCCCCCCTCTGTCTCCCTGTCTCTGGGTTTACTGCTGGACCTGGCCCCGGCGCTGTCCTCCCTCTCCTCACACATCTCTGTTTCACTGTCTGAGTCCTTCATCTCCTCATCCTGCCCCTCCCTCCCTCTGTCCTCTCTTCCTCCTGCGTGATCCCCAGCATGGAGCGGCGTCTGGGGGGCCCTGCGGGGGGGCTTCCTGGATTCAGCTTCTGGCCCAGCAGTGGATCTCTGTGCGAGGGAGTCTTTGGGTGTGGACGGGGGTCCTGGCTGTTGATGCTGGTGGTGGTGGTTGAGGGTGAGTAGGGGGGTGGAGGCCCCATGGCGAAGCACCAACATTGCATTTGAGCGTCGGGCCAGCTCCTCGCGTAGCGGATGGCCTTCTGGGATGTCGTGGAGGCTCCGCAGGGCTGGATGGTCGGGGGGGAGGCCGGGGGGTAGAACTCCTAAATGGTCGGAGCCCAGCAGACGATGCTGCTGCTGCCGATGGTGCAGACTCTCCAACTCTTTCTGTCTCAGCAGCTCCGCCGACATCTCAAGTCTGAGGACGTCAAACGCGGGGAATTAAACTCAGGGCCGAAGGTTTTAAATATTCACAGTATTTCACATTCACAACACTGCTTGTGGGTGTATCTTCAAAACATATGACTGTGTCCACAAGTATATCTTCTCTGGCTGCCATGATTACACAATGTTTTACAGACTGTGACATTACAACACACACCTGGCCAGATTCTGCTTCCGCAGCATCTCCTGTTGCCGGGCAAAGAGCTCAGCTTGGGCTGGTTGAAGGAAACCATAACCTGTTAGAGAAAATTGCAAGAAAATACATGTCAGTTAAAATGTAAAAAGTAATTTGTAAACTTTTTTTAAAACCGTGGGGGAATGCAAATCAATGAGGAAAAAATATATGTATTTTAAAATATATCAATCATTTTATAATGATTTATCATTAAATCTGGTTTATAGAGCATGGAACAATGCAATTGGTGCAAATTGGTGAAAAATACACATTTATTTGTATTCATATGTCTTTAATATGTTCTTTATTTGTGCAGGACTTTGATTTGCCATGTGGAAAGATAAGATAAGATAAGATAGTACTTTATTGATCCCAATTTGGGAAATGTTTGCGTTGCAGCAGCATAAAAAGACATGGCATTGTACAATACAAATTCAAGACAATAAATAAACAAGGAAATGGAAATGTGCTATATAAACAAAATGTATATGAATAAAAACGAAATAATCAATGATGCATTTTCATTTTTTTATAAATACTATGATGTTTTTATTAATACTATAACTTTATAACAGGACCTTTTTATGAAAAAAAAAAAAAAAAAATGTATGACAATTTTACTCTTTTGGACATCCATAGTAATGCTATTTTAGTATATACTATTTTATGACATACTTTGTTGTGACTTTTTGACATACTATACTATGACTTTATTTCAACATACCAATGTATGACTTGTCAAAATATTGTGCAATGACATTGTATTAACATTCTATTATGACTTTTTTCGAAAGATCTACGTTTTTGACTTACGATACTATGACTTTTTTTCAACGTACTAATTTATGAATATTTGACATACTATACTGTAACCTTTTCCAAACTTACTACACTTTTTGATTTCGTCATACTATACTATGACCTTTATTTAAGAAACTATGACTTCCTAATTTCTTCATGACATACAATACAATGAATTTGCTTTAAATACTACCATTACTTTTTTGCGACATACTATATTATAATTGTAACAACACACTGTCCCTCAGATTCTTAAAAAGTCTAAAAAGGTATTCAATTAAGTAATTTAAAGATAAGGATTTCATTGGTATTAAAAGTCTTAAGTGAGCCTTTCAAAAGTCTTAAAAATACTAAGACAGGATTTTTTTAATCCTTTTATTTTCTGACCTTGCAATTAAAAATCAATCAATTAAATGATTGGCAACGCATCGTAGATCAGGAGAGCGCAACCAACAACACTAATGGTGATGCACTTTCTGCTACCTAGCAACGACATGAGGAAATATTATGTTTTAATAAACAGCAAAAGGGCAAAGATTTTCCCTTACCAAAAAAATACAGATGGTTTTTTTCATTACATTTGGAAAGCCTTGAAAAGTCTCAAATGTCCTCTGCCAAAAGCTGTAAAAACCATCTATTATATTTGTATCCTGAGAAGACTTCAGACTCACCGGGGGCTTGGCAAAGGGCAGAGGGCATGCCCAGGAAAGGGGGCCGCAGGTGATGTCCTAAGGCGATGTGAGGGCCGGTTGGAGGGGACAGTAGGGGTGGTGGGTGGGACAGTTCTCTGTGGACACAAATATGAAAAAAGACAAAATTAACTTCTGTTCCGTTATACTGGATGCTTGAAAATGTGCGTGGCGGAGATGTATAATATATGAATATCTACATTAAAAGAATCATTTTAAGTACGTCTCAACTCTTTCTTAGTGCGTGTGCATGAATGTATGTGGTGTATTTTTATCAGTGGAGCTCCAGAGGCCCCTGTGTCGCCCCACTGCCTCATCAGTCTTGTCACACCGCAGCAAGCGCCGCTGGCCATCGCTGTACCCTGGACTGCAGCCTTCCCTCTACTGCCGCCCCACAAACACACCATGCAGACACAGAAATACACACAACTCTAAACCCACACACATAATGAGGGCTGAATGCACAATGCCAGTGTGTCATGCTCCGACAGCTGGGGCGGCCCCTGCGTCTTGACCGGGGCCACGGGCTGAAGGACCTTCTAATTAACACTCATCCCTTCTCTATTCTCTCCCTTTTTTACGCCCTCCTCTCCGTTTCCCTCCCTCTCACTCTCGAGGCTGCATTGAAACCGGTGAAAAGATGGAGCGTCCTGCAACCTCTGCTTCTGAAAAGGCCTCCCCATTATTGGCTCCGTCTTTTGTCCTCCTCGAGGGGGAAAGGCGCCTCTCACCTTTCTCCCTCTCTCTACATCTCTTGTTCAGTCTTAACCATATTTTTCTGTTCTGTCTATGACCTCTGAAAATCCGGTTTGTTTACTCTTTTCTCTTCCTCCGCTTTTATTTATTTCACTGTGTCATCCTGTCTCTTTACCCGAGCCTTGTCTTGCCTCTTTTCTTTCTCTCTGTTTCTGTCCCACTTCTTTTCTTTCTCTCTAATCTTTTTCTCCTTTTATCCCTTTGCTTGGTTTTTCTTTCAGGCTTCTGCACATCTCCATGGGTAAAGGAACATGGTTTTGAGGAAACAGATACCAACTCTCAGAAGAGTGAGGCATGTGCACGCTGACCGTTTCAAAGAGTCAACGTGTGGGTGAGGATTGCCTCGCAGTGTCCTAAACCATATCTGGTTCCAGAGCTTTCCTCAAGTCAATCTCTTGCTTCCTACACCTCTCCTCTCGCAGCGCCTGTCTCTAGTTCTCTCCCTCTGAGCTGCTGCTATCACACCAATCAGATCTTAGCAGTGTGACGGCCGCAGCACAAAGCTGAGGAAAACAACAAAAATCAAAACCAACACTGGGACGCATGCAACCGCAAATATTGTTTTGCATCTGTGTTCAAATGAGCTAGCGCCTGCATGTCTCCCGCCTCACTAAATGGTGAGGAAAAAAGGAGAGAGAGAGAGGGAGGAACTGCAAGGAGGGAGGGCACGCATACAAGAGCCAGGAGATGAGATGGGGGGGGGGGGGTTTGGAGCCAGTGCTGAGAGGGTGGTGGTGTGTGCGGGGGTGAAAACCATTCATCGATCGCCTCCGCCGCTGAAATGTTAATGCTAATCGTATAACCGCTCTCTCCGGCGGTGCCTCGCACTCCAGTGGCAGCTCCAATTAATCTTGGGTGAGGGCTACGGCGCGTGACCCCGGAGCCGCGAGCCGGGGCCCCGCTAGCCGCTGCTTATGTAATTACACCGCCCAGTGTGTAATCACCTGGCCTAATCCCTTGGGGCTAGCAATTAGCCTTGCAACGCGCAGCTCTACTGGGCTACACCAAAACGCCCGCAAAACTCCCATCCACCCCCGCCATAGCTCCTGCATGCCAAACACCCATCACCCCCTACCCCCCTTTCTGATACTCCCTCCCTTTCTTTCTCCCCCCTCCTTGCACCGCCTACCCTTGCCTAGCGTTAGCCCGCAGATGAATAACGGTCAATTAAAGCTGCATGACTGGGGCTGCCAGGCGTCTGCGCCACCATAATTAGGCCTAATCACGGGGAGTGAGAGAGACGGAGGGAGAGAGACAGAGAGAGATGTGGAGAGAGAGAGAGAGAGTGTGCCTGACACTCCCCTCCACTCCCTTCCTCCATCTCTCCCTCTTTTCCTTCTTTTATAGGAGGCAATTTTAAAGGGAGGAGTGGCAGACATTAGTCGTTTTGCTCTGGGCCTGTGTGTGTGTGTTTCTGTGTGTGTGTTTCTGTGTGTGTGTGTTTCTGTGTGTGTGTGTGTGTGTGGTGTGTGTGTGTGTGTGTGTTTCTGTGTGTGTGTGTGTGTGTGTGTGTGTGTGTGTGTGTTTCTGTGTGTGTGTGTGTGTGTGTGTGTTTCTGTGTGTGTGTGCCTTCTGACTGTGTGCATGTGGCTTTTCTGCCCTATCTGTGCATTTTGTTGGCAAACCACTAACATGCTATAAAAGCAAAAACACTCATCTAGTTTTGCATGAGAGTGAGAATATTCACAAATCCAAGGTGGGCTAATAATCACTAAAGCTATATCACTGGATTCTCTCTCTCTCTCTGCCTCTCTCTCCCCCCCGCTCTCCTAAGAGAGAGAACAGAGAGAGAGCAGAGAGAGCTCAGAGAGAGAGAGGAGAGCGAGCGAGAGAGGAGAGCATATCCTCTGATATATCTCTCTCTCTCTCTCTCTCCCTCCCTCCCTCTCTCTCTCCCCCTGCAGTGAGGCCAGAGGCTCCTAGGGAATGCACTGGTGTGTGACGACCTGTCAGAGTGGCGACAGCGGCCCCGTCCCGCAGCAGCCTTAGCAGTTTGTGTGTGTGTTTGTGTAAGTGTGTGTCCGGGTGTGTGTGTGTGTCCGGGTGTGTGTGTGTGTGTGACAGGGCTGCCCTTAATGACGGGAGCGTGGGGGGATTAGGAGCGCCGCGCGGCCGCCTTCGGCTCCTTCTCCGCAGGAACACATTTACACAGGAAGCTCATTAAAATGGATGAGGCTCCCTCCACGCTCATTCCCTCTCTAGCTCGCTCGCTCCCTCCCTCTCCTTATCTTGCTCTTGCTCTCTCTCTCTCTCTCTCTCTCTCTCTCCCCCTCTCTTCGTCACTTCGTCCTCTCGCCATCTCCTCTCTTCCTCTGTTTTGCTTCACTCTCTTCATCCCCATTTTAAGCTCCCATGTTTTCCACTTCCTCCCTCTCTACCTTTCTCTCTCCTCTCCACTATCCCTCCCCTATTTGCCTTGCAGATGCTTGGTGAGCTTAGTGCCATTTAAGGCCAGACAAATGGAGCGCCAGGCTCTAAGCCCATCGAGCGGCCCTAATGATTTGTTTTTAACAATGGGCCCTAATGGGCCCCAGATAATCAATGATGAGGGGTCGATGGAAAGGTGAGCCACGGAGAAGGGAGAGAGCTTCCATTGCTTACTCACATTCTCACTCTCAGTTTTTCATTTTAATCAACAGTTTTTAGCTTTTACTAACCAACCATTAGGATTTAATTCTCTCTTCACTTTGCACGTCTTTCTCTCTCAGCTCTCTACCTAATTTTTTTTGGAGGTTCGGTAGCTTTTATACAAGTTGTGTACAGTCTGCTCTTTGGTCCATGTACTTTACATAGCCGAAACTATGGGAACATTACACCCACATCAGATTATCGAACATCTCATTCATACTGCTATACTGTGTCATTCAGTACGATCCCTAAATCTATCGAACCATCCTTCATAAACTGTTATTGAGGAATAAACTACATTAAAGGTGGGGTAGGTCATTTTGGAGAAACCAGCTTGAGATCGCTAGAATTTGAAAATACACAGCCGGAGAAAATCTGCCACTTCCTTACAGAGCCCCTCCTCCAACACACACAAACGCGCACATGACCAATGAGGGCACGAGATAAGTTTGTGCACAGATGGAAGGCTGACAGGCAGGTAGGCCATCCAGTTATTTTAGCCGGGCCGGCTAAAATGATTGGTCGTGCTTTTTACAGTATTACGGCTTCCACAGATGACATTTTTGTATGGATTTTTGTCAAAGCACTTAAGATATTCATTGCTATCGGGATGTTAAGAGCATTCCATGGAATATAACAAAAAGTGTATCTCGAGCCGGTTTCTCAAACTTACCTACCCCACCTTTAAGTTTTGACATTTATCCAGTATTTTACACTGGAATTATAATTGCTTTATTGTCCTAAATACTGAGATTTACATTTACATTAAGTCATTTCAAATGTTTGATTGGTGGTGGAGCCCAAAACTTAAAAAAACAGCCTATGACAAAAAGTATGTATCAACCTTGTAGTGAATGTGTGAGAATTAGCATGTGAAAATATACACGTTTCCATCACTCTATGTCTGGTTGACTTTTAGTTTTGCCTTCACTCATTTGGACATTGACACAAGTGATGCAAAGGGCAACATCTTTTCATCTAAAAACATACAGAGAGTTAAAGGGTTGAAGAGGAAGCACGGTGGAGAGAAGAGGGACGAGGCGCGGAGAAGATGGATGGAGGGATGGGGAGGCCTAGTTAACTCTCCCCAGTCCTGTGTGGCTAATTACTTGGTGTGCTTTCTGAGAACAGCCCCGGCTCTCTGACTACATTTCCACTGCACTACTGGCCTCTCAGAAATCACCCACAAAAGCAAGCACACACACACACACATGCGCGCACCACACACAAATTAGCAGACATATTCAGACAAACAAACCCAAATTCAATCCGCATAGATGAGCGTGCATGCAGACTTCCAGCTAGAATAATGGAACGAACAAACACACACGAACATCCAGCCCCCCTCTTCCCCTTCACACACACGCACACACACACACACACACACACACACACACACACACACACACACACACACACACACACACACACACACACACACACACACACACACACACACACACACACACACACACACACACACACACACACACACACACACACACACACACACACACACACACACACACACACAGCCTCCCAGAGCTGCACCACACAGCGCCTGGCCGCTCAGCTTCCTGCTTATATGCCCACCCCTACCCCTCACCACCCCCTTCTCTGTCTCACACACACACACACACCCTCCCCCCCCCCTGCTGCCGCACCGCCGGCCCATTATCGATCCCCCGCCTCTCCCCGCGCCACATAAATAATCGACAAGCAATTACCCGCCCACTCCCGCTGCCCCCGGCTTTGTTTGGGAGGCGCAGAGGCCAGCGCTGGGGGGAGAGGAGGGAGGAAGAGCCGGGGATGCAGGCGTGCAGCTCCACAGTGGTAGCCAAGAGGTTATTGGATCCTTAGTTTAACCATGTGTAGATGCACAAACGGTCACACACACACTGAAAAGCCAAACATGAGATCAGATCCTGCTGAGGAAGATCTAGGTGGAAGAAATTGCAGTGGTGTGGTGATGAAAACTGGCAGGTGATTAACTCCTTCTACTGTTTCTTCCACTGAAACACAGTGGTCCATTATGATTTCCACATTTACATCTGTCACATCATATGGGGCCTCTTATGCAGCATGTGTGTGTGGAGGATGTGGGTGTTGGGCTTTATTAATGACGAATTATGCTACTATTGCAAGCAGGGCAGTGTTTTATTTCAGGAGCTTTCTGGTGCCGGGTTGACGAAGAGATTTGATAGTGAGTGTGTGTGTGTTTGCGTGTGTTTCATACCTGTCTGTGTAATGTGCGTCCCGGTGCTGCGGGAGACCCTGCTTGCGTCTCTGACTGGATGAAGAGGAGCTGCCCGCCGAGGGAAGGTGGGCTTCTAAGGCAGAAGGGTTCCTCACTGCTGCGGCCAGCGCCTCCTGGCGAGCACGCAACATGTCTGAATAAGGAGGAAAGGGGGGAAAAAGGGGGAAGCGCAGTGGAAGGAGGGAGATGGGAAGATAATGTTGACATGAGAAGGATGATGAGTTGAGAAAAGAGAGGGAAAAAGCAGAGGGGGGGGCGGGCGAGAATTGAAGGGGAGAAAGAAAGGGGAGGATTAAAACAGATTTAGTATGAAGCTGCTCAAGTTAAGATATTACAAGAAACTCTTTACTTTTGTAGAAACATTTTTAAACAGAAAATCCTCCTGACTAAACATTTCACCAGCTCCAGCTTACGGATTACGGCCTATTTGAAGCGTGTTGCTGTTTGAACACGTTTTTGGGCAACATAGCACCCATAAAGCACCCCATAAAAACGTGTCCTGCAGTGAAGGATGTAAGAATGCAGGTAGCTCATAAAAAACAACAAATAAGTAAATAACACAAATACAAGGAAGAAGATTGTTTTTGCATCTTTTGAATGACCATGTGACATCCTTATACGTGTGCAGATACATGAGCACTTTGAACAAGGATGATCCAAAACAGACACTTTGGCAGAGGTGTAGGAAATGAGCACATTGCACTCGAGTCCATCTGTCACACTTTGGAACTGAGCTGGCCATTTTCAAACACATGTGGGGAAATAAAGAGGTGGCTCGGAAAAGGCCAGAAAAGCAGCATGAAAAGATGACAGTGTGTGATGAGGTTTCAAAACAAATAATGACCACGAATGAGCAAAAAGCGGCTTCACCAATCAGGCGAGGTGTGTTTTCACCTCTCCCCACCGCCGCCACTATCACGCCTTCTCCCTCTATCTCTGCCTGCCCTCTCTCTCCACCTCCTGCCCTCGACCACTCGCCTCATTCCATCTCTTTCTTCGCTCTCCCCCCCTCTCTCTCCCAGCAGCCCTGGCTCTCTCTCGCTCTCGTAGGAGAAGAGGCCTCATCATTATCAGCCAGGCCAGGCCACACCAGGAGACATGGCTTCTAATGAGAGAAAAATCCATCCTGCTCTCGCTCTCCCCCCTCCCTCTGCCTCAATCTATCTATCCTCTCTCTCTCTCCGCTCCTCTCCTCTCCCCTCCTCCCCCTCTTTTTTAATTAGACAGATCCCTCGGGAGCTAGGGGCCATTTCCGCCGCCGGTACGGGTGTGACGTGTGTTTGTGTGTGTCTGTGTGATTTAGGTGCTTGCGTGTGCGTGCCTGACTGTGTGTGTGTGTGTGAGCGTGTGTGTGTGTGTGTGTGTGTGTGTGTGTGTGCACGCTGAATGGGCGCCAGGGTGGGGGGGGTGAAGCGACAGATATTAATGCTGCCTAGCTCCGGTGTATCGATCTGTTTGCTGCGCCAGGCCGCAGGGGACTCGGCTGGCGGCAGACAAGGGTGTGTGTGTGTGTGTGTGTGTGTGTGTGTGTGTGTGTGTGTGTGTGTGTGTGTGTGTGTGTGTGTGTGTGTGTGTGTGTGTGTGTGTGTGTGTAGGGGGGGTTGAGAGAGATAAGGAAGGGATCAGAGGGAACTGGAGCCCCAGAGCGCACACACACACAGGCGGTTGTGCGCTTGCATACATGGTGCAGGGTTGACAGGGTGGGAGTGTTGACCTCTACCAGTTTCCTGTTATCACAATCGCAACCCACCAATTATTTTATATAACTAGGTCAGTTAAAGGGCTTCTAAAGCAATTTAGTCTGGCACTTCCATTAAGTTTGGGAGATTCCAAGCAACAATTACCAAAACAAATGCAGATCGATGCTGCAGAGCCAGAGATATACTGAAAGGGTGTAAAAACTCAAAAGAGACTAACTTTAATTATACAATATCTAAAAAAACTCTAACCTACAATTCAGATGATGCAACTCAACAGCGTCTTTCGCTCGACTCACCCTGCCTTGTGAACATCCATGTCTTTTAAACTCTACATTCAGTTGTAATTCAGGCTTTATACAACTGTTCCCCAACGCTGAGTAATATTCCACCAGATGAACCCCACTGACCTGAGGCACAGATTAAACTGTGACAGACTTTTATCTATTAATCATAAAATCTCAAATGTTATGAATTATTTCAGTTTAAAGCTATATGCAGTTTCAAGGGCCTCTTTATATTTGCAGGTATGTTATTCTGGTAGAGATTAATCATATTTATTTGGTTTAGTTTGTGTTATTAAAAAATCTTTAGTCTAAAAGCATGCAACAGTACAGTCGGTCAAGGGGCCACTACAATAGTAGCTGCTTAAAAATGTGAACATGTAAATGTATCTTAATAAAGTATTCTTCTATATTTCTTGTCTTATGCTATTGTGTTTTTAACCAGTGACTGTTTGTTATTCTCTTTCATGTGAACTGAGAAGAGCAGGGTCACCTGGGGCTCTACCCTTCTGTGTGTGTGTGTGTGTGTGTGTGTGTGTGTGTGTGTGTGTGTGTGTGTGCGTGTGTGCGTGGTGTGTGTGTGTGTGCGTGTGTGCGTGGTGCGTGCGTGCGTGCGTGCGTGCGTGCGTGCGTGTGTGTGTGTACACTCAGAATGTCCCCTTCTGAATCTCTAGGTGTTGCAGCTGCTGAAACACAAGGGGATAGTTCCTTCATCTGCAAATGTGAGTCCTAATTGAAGGCACACAAAGAACACATACACACAAACACTCGAACACACAAATCTCCTCCTTCGCAGGAGTTATTTTGGGGGGTCCCAGTTTACCACTCGGACCCATCTCGCTTATCCCTCTTTTGTGCCATCCCATTTTTCTCCCCGCCATCATTCCTGGTGTTGGGCCTAAATCCCCTCGGTTAAGCCGGGTTTTTCTCAGCGTGAGAATGCAGAGGAGCGCCACACTAATGCAGCTTGGCCGGCCTCGTGTTGGATTTGGCGGACTGGCAGGTACACAAAAGCCGACATCCATCTGCTGAGGCGCACCATACACCTGAAAATTAAGTATCTTTTCAGGAAGAGGTATTCTGCCAGGATTAGTGAGCAGGAAATGTGTGGCGAGTTTGTCGCAGATGTCTTTACCCGTCTGTTCTCTGACTGATTGTGTGTTGGAGTTTTCAGGCTCTTTAGGATGATGATAATAAAGAGATGCTGTGGGCAGCTTCATGTTCAAAATCAGTCTAAACAGCAGGAGACAAAACAGAAGCCCCTCCCCTTTCTTTCATCTGGATACCTACCCCTACCACTTTTTTCTCTCTCTCACTCTCCTTTCATCAAGTGAAGAGGGAGGGAAAGCCCTCCTGGCCATTTCTACAACTCTGCCACCCCTCCACCTCCAATCCATCCCCTCACCCCCTTTTCCCTACTCTTCTTTTGCCCATCAGGTCCAGAGAGAACCCCTCAAACAACACCTTGCACATACACAATCATACACACACATGAACACCAAGTTCCTCCTCAACCCCAGCCTCTTTCAACACACACACACTTTAATTTTCTGTGCCCGACACTTCAAACACATGAAAGGATGCTCTGCAGGGACCAAGGCTAAAGGGAGAGTCGGAGGTGGGGGTAAGGAAAAGGGGGAAGAGGAGGTATAAAAGCAGTGCTTGAGATGGAGATGTGTAGGGGAGATGGTGGTGGTTTGGGGCCCAAAGTGAGAGGGAGGAGGGGGTCACAGGGGCCCCCATCAGAGACAAGGTCAATGTCAAAGGGCTCTCGCTGAAGTGATTCGCGTCAGCCTCTCAAGAGACAAAACAGCCGTCGCCTTGTTCCACCTCTGTACGGTTTGTGTCCTTGAGTGTCACTTTCTTAACAAGCTCAGCCTGTTAATTGGAGAACGGGAGGGTATGAAGGTAGTGTTATAATATAATATATACCTTTTTTCATAAACTTGTCTATCGTTGGATTGAAGAAAGAAGTAGCCAGGTGTGGAGGAAAATAAATATTAGTTCAAGGGAAGGCTTGGCTGTTGGCAAGGCATGGGAAGCCCATCACTTGGCATCCGCTTAGAGGACACAACAGCAAATGGTGAGACACGTCGCTTATAGGAAATATTACTGTGAAGTTGTGTTTACATAATAGTTGTATTTAAGCGTGTGACCAAAGCATCACTAACAAACTGTGAACTTGTATGTAATGATAACTTGCACCAGTAGAACTTATTTAATTAGTATTCGCTTTTCTACGTTCCTTATTTCCTTTGTCCGGAAGATTTCAACTTTAACGGACATCTTGACCGGCGAAAGTAACTGAAACTGAAACTCTGCCGCACGGTCCCCTCGTTCCTTGGAAGAGGCGGAGAGGTGGGTGTTTGTCATCTGCTGGTGGACTAACCGGAGAGAATTACAGTGCTTGCCTCGACGGGGAGGGATTGCATTGAATTAAAGCAGCGGGAGCAAATGCTTGCCTCGGGGAGGGAGAAAAAAAGCCACAGCGGAGAATAAACATAAGGGTAACCATGGTAACTATGACCGGGAAGTCTTCTTCGCTGCTTTTGTGGCAGACTACAGTGCCACTTACAGGCCTGGCATATGTACTACAGCGTCTCCAGCGCTTTCGAGCGGCAATGGCCGTAGCGCCACTTCTGTGATGACATAGAAGTGTTCAAATCTGGATCAGTTTTTATCAGATCCGTTGCAGCCCCTTTTTTAGAGATTTAGGTATGGAGGAAAATAGAGAGGGTTGTGTTTTCTGACACTTGGTGAGTTCCCTGGAACACCGGGGACACATATTCATGTATAAAAGACGTACAAAAGTGCATTTTGCATGATAGGTCCCCTTTAAATTATTTATTTTGAGCTCTTTCTCTTCTTCTGCACATTAAAAGCTTTTAAGTGTGACTGCATCTGTGCAGAATAAGGGACAGTGTGGAAACTATCAAATGATTTGGGCTGGAAAGTGAAGAAAGGGAGCGAGTATGTCTGTATTGCACTACACTACAGCGTCTGCCTCTCAGCAGCAAGGTTTCTGGGAAAGGAAGCCAGCGATCAGACTGCACCCTGGGCCATAAAAACCCCCCACAATGCACTGTATCTTGCTCCTAACTCCTCACAAGACACAGGGAAAGGGCAATTAAAGCGTTTATAGGCGTCGCCCCCTAGATTTGCAGCCAGCAATTAAAAATCATTACTAATCAAATAAAAATAGAAGTAGCTCAAACTACAATTCGGCGGGGCATCGATTGGATATACGCTACTACAAAAGTGCTCGTAAAGACTGGTAGGACATTCAAAACAAAAATGTGAGAAAAAGGTTAACATTTAATGGCAGTGAAATTAATATAAAGCCAACTTATAAAACCCAAATGAGGCCACTTTTCTCATTTCTTGTTTTCCTATCCAACTACAACTCTCTCAAGCTAAAACTGGTATATTTAAGGTGACTGTAGAAATTGAGAAAAACTGGTACACACTGGTGGTTTCCAGGGTGTTGGGAGATTTAGAGGCTTGGCAGGCAGCCAATGAGAGCTCCTGGATCAATCGCGGTGTTGATGCATGCGAAGCCTTGTGGGTGTTGTTAACAACGGAGAGCCGTGGTGGTCAGAAATCACCCTGAGTGACACTTTGACACTGGGTGGGCAAGCACCACAAATAGAAATGTCAGCCGTCTCCATGGCTGGGGTTTTACACTGGCAGCAGTGTGGCACACCTTAACATGGTGCCCTGAACACAGCGCTACACTCAGGGGTTACAAAGCAGCGCTGCCTCACTGTGACTTTGTGACAGGTGACGGAAGAGCTGTTTTTTCCAAAGGAACCTCTTTTAGTTTGAAGTAAATCTCAAGTTACTTCAAACTAACTCTTAAGTTATTTCAAAGTAAAAAAATGTAATAAATAAATAAAAAGTACCTCTAGATCTTTCATGAGTCAATTCTTAGCGGTAGAGTAGGAAACGCTGTTCTGAATATAAAAATCAACTGTTCACAGAGAAGGTGTAACAAGATAAATCTGCAGATATGTGAAAGACAATGTGTTGAAGGTGAGGGTAATGATGAGCGCACACACACCTACAAAGACAGAGCCTGTGGACTGACCGTGGCCCGGCAGACCCATGCTGCTCGCCAGCTGGTAGAGGCGCTGCTGCTGCTCCTCGTAGGACCCCTGCTCGCTGAGCGCTGACATCATGCGCCTGTAGTGCTCCTCAGGGCTCATGTGGCCGTGGCTGCTGCCCGCCTCCACCACCGGGCTCTGGGAGTTCTCTGGAAACAGGAGGGACACACTTAGATTATGACCAATCAATGACAATCATTATAAATATGTCAATACCCAACTCATCAGGGGATGAATACTAACTTGAAACAGCAGGCAGTGAAACTCTATCAGGCTGCAGCAGCAATGTTTTACACTCCTTTTAGCTTATTGTTTTGATTTTTTGATGTCAAATATCAGTCATAAAACTTGCTTTCTCACAGATTATTCATTAAGTGGACAGCATTTATAGACTGGAAATCCTCTTTTTATTGAGTGTACACATACAACCATGCATTGTTAATGGCCAGAGCCTAACACAAACTCACTATTTATCTGACAGAAAACACAGCATTTTTGAGAGAAAGATTAAAAGTGTTTCTTTGTTTAATGCAGACTACAAAAAAGACTCAGCTTTTTCCACAAAGTGTGTGTGTGTGAGTGTAGAATGTCTCTGCTGTGTTTAAGGTGTTGTGAAGATGATGTGGTGTATGATATCTATCTAGCTGTCAGTCCCCACACTTAATCCCTCTCTCTGACCTCCCTCCTCCCTCTCTCTCTGTGATAGCAACATGATCTAAGGTAAGGGTGGTGGGGGATATAGGGAGGTGGTTTGGGAGTTAGAGGAGGGAGAAAGAGGATGAGGAGGAGGGAGAAGCAGAGGAAAGCAGGGGTTATTTTTACCACCCTCCTTCTTATTGAAACCTGAGCCTGGCCCCGGGCAGGCGAGCAGGAGTGGCGCTGAGGAGCGGAGGTGGGTTGGAGGTGGTGCTGGTGGGGGAGGAAGCCAGCATGCAAGCATCTCTGTCTCCACCACCGAGCTCAAGCTAATCCACCCAAGGTCCTCAAGTGTGCGTGCTTGTGTTTGTGTGTGCGCGTGTCTGTGTGTGTGTGTGTGTGTGCGTGTGTGTGTGTGCGTAACTACTCTATGACTGTCTGAAGTTTTCTCGCTCACTAAACACAGCAGGGGGTTGCCGACTTTGCAACCAAAAGAAAAACAGACATCATTTACACAGCGGCAGCCAATCTCTCCGGCTCCATCCCTACGCTACCCTCTCTGTCTCTCTCACTCAATCTATTACTCCGCCAGCATTAAGGGATAGCGTGTGCCGTCAAAACCTGGCGACAAGAAGACGTGCATGGATAACACACACATACAGGTGCAGAGATGTGGTGTGAATGTGGACAGAGCTCAAGGTTAAGACATCGGATCAGCAGTGTTTTGAAATGGCTTAAACGCACTTCTCTGGACAGCAGGCTGCACACACACTCACACAGTCGTATTTAAATATACAAATATACAGCAAAGGAAAAATGGAAACAAGGCGTATAAAGGGCTTGTTGGCATTAACGCAAAGAATTTAACCGTGCAGGCATAAGAAGACAAAGTAGACAAAAAACACACTAGCCTGAGTGCGCGCACACACACATACACACACACACAAATACACACACATCCTTCAGAAGCGGGGTCGTGTCTAAGTAAGACTATAATGGCCAGGAATGAGTGCTTCCCTTCACAGAAAGAGGCTCCAGGCGGGCTGCTGTCGGGCAAAGGTCACCCAGAGGGCAAAGGTCAACACCAGGCTCAGGCTTAGCTCTATACAGCTAAATCTGCACAGATACCTTCCCCCATCTATTTCTGTACACACAATTTAACATCATAGACACTTTACCTACAAGCTTCACCCCCATGCTCAACAATCAGAGCTATTTGTGTCTCTGAATGTGTGTTGATGTTTCACTTGCTGTATGTGTGTGTATGTGTGTGTACAGTATATGCATGTTGTTTAGATGTCTCCAGAGGTGAGTCTGGAAGTGCGGTAAGCTGCCCTTGGTTTTGCGGTTCTGCCTGCTCTTTTATAATGCATCAGACAGGAAGTCTTCCTCAGGAGCCCAGAGGGATGGCCGGTGGCTGTGCGGCTCCACGCCGGGGGCCAGGTTTCACGCCGCATGAGGGAGATATGAATAATAGAGGGTGGCGACAGGATTGCAGCACAACGAGGGACATTGTCTTGCCAACATTTACCTTGTCAAGACCCTTTTTCTACAACAGATGAAGCTACAGTTAAAACTCTCAAAACTGAAGCCTGTTGAGTGACCTGAAGAATCCAGACATGGCAAATGGAAAGAAAAGTTGTTCTTCTATTTTCTTTAATGTAATTTCTCAAAGTTTTGAGTACCCAAAATGCATCCTTTTGTGGCACCCACAATAACCATCTTATTGGTGTAACAGCAGAATCTCACAGCTAATCAGCAGGTCAAATAAAAACTGTCTTCATGGTTTTATAACGTTAATGGTATGAGAGGATAAACATTGTTTTGGATTTGGGTGACCTTTTACTGTATCTGCAAATTGATATGTTTATGTTTGTGAGAGAGAGAAATGTGTGGATGGAAAGAATGGCATGAAAGTGTGTCTCGAACACACTAACCCCAGGCAGCTAATACCGCCTCATGTTTCTCTTGTTGTCTTCCTTCCATTCTCTTTCACTTTAACATTCAGCCAACGTGTCTTTTTTCCTACAATTTTCCCTCATTTCCTGAAATTGCACATCCACCCACATCTGTAATGTCACAATACACAAATACTGTGTGTGGTCTTACCTTTGGGGGATACGCTACGTGACTTCTTGCTGTCAGAGGGACACTCGCTGCTGCTGTTGGGGGAGAAGCTTCTTCTCTTGCCTAGAAGGTCATCTGTAAAAAACAAACAAACAGAGAAAGAGCCGTCAGTGAAAAGATCGCAATAAAAGCTAAATATTGCCGCTTTGCGCTAAGCCTACCTGTATACATGGCGGCTGCTTTCTAAATGCAGTTAGAAGAGAGAGAGAGAGAGAGAGAGAGAGTGGAAGGAGCAAAAAGTGATAGGTGGAGAGAAAGCGAGTGAGTGAAGCGAGCCACGGGCGTCTGGAGATGTGCCTGTTCTGTCAGATATGAGAGGGGGCCTGCAACGCCGTGGATGACAGATCTGCCCGGCCCATTCACAAGTGTGTGTGTGTGTGTGTGTGTGTGTGTGTGTGTGTGTGTGTGTGTGTGTGTGTGTGTGTGTGTGTGTGTGTGTGTGTGTGTGTGTGTGTGTTTGAAGGAAGGCTCTGACTCTCTGCGTCTCCCCTACAACGTCTCTTTCCAGCAGTCTGTCCTCAAGTGTTATCACTGTTCTTCCTCTCCATTCTCTTATTTTTCCAGATGTTGGCACAAAAGCCTCGGCCTGAACTAAAGTGCACGAGAGCCTCTCATCTGCTGGAGAAAACTCTCTCAGCCTACATTATGTCTACAATACATCATTAGTTATTTCTCTTGTTGCTGTCCTCCCCATCAAAACAAACTTCACATGAGTTCCTTGTCTTATTTTCCCATCTCTTTCCGTCTGTGTTTTCTCTCCCCTTCTATTAACTCTCTCCCTGCCTCTGTCTCTTCCTCCATGTTCTCCCTCTACCTCCTCCCCTGCCACCAAAGAGGAGCATCTAGTGTACAATTACAGCACCCCCCTACTGCCTCCCCCTCTCCTCCCCTCTCATCCCCCTCTTCCTTCCCGCCCAATCGCCTCACCTCCACCCCCCTTAAACACACCTCAAATCAATACAGGCCTAATCAGAGAGAGAGGGGATGCCGAGCACATCGCATGCAGCGCCGGCAGGAAGGAAAGCCGTTTGTCATTGCTCTATCAATCTCTCTCTCTCTCTCTCTCTCTCTCTCTCTCTCTCTCTCTCTCTCTCTCTCTCTCTCTCTCTCTCTCTCTCTCTCTCTCTCTCTCTTCTTTCTTTCTATCTCATGCGCCTCTGTTTTTCCTCTGACTGTTTCTGCCTCCACACACAGCAAGGCACCGGCACCACTTGCTTCCCTTCTCTCTCTTTTTCTTGCATTTCGCAAGTATTTTTAAGATAGGAAACATTTTTTTTCCTCCCCCTCAAGCAGATTGGGCCCTCTCTCTTTCTTTCTGTCTGTCTCTATTTTTCAACAAAGCCATTTTTCATCATTTGCTCAGCATGTGTAAACAGTGCAGAGAAGCAATGAACAGGGGGTACAAAAAAAAGAGGAAATAAATACCACAAGGTAATTTTGTAGCAATGCCCAAGCAAACAACATGTCCGCATGTCCAGTCATGATATTATTGTTACCTTAGTAACAGGCGGACAGTCATCAACAGAGGAGTGAAGCTGGAGTGGATGCCGACCTTTAACCCTTACAACCAACCCCCTAAACTTATGCTACTCTTTCTCTATAACAAGACACAGAAAGAGACAGACAGATATTTGGATTGGACTCAGAGGATTTTGTTGGGCTACTGAAAGAGTACTGGTGTTGATGTGAGAGTGAGCAACAAACGAGAAAGGGGGAGAGAGGGAGAGGGGGGAGGTTCACTAATGATCCAGTGTTTGATGTTGCCTCTCAGGACCTGAGGAGATCCACTCCCTTCACCATCCTGAGGAGACAGCGTAGGGAAGGGGGGGGCTAATGGACAAGTGTGCACACTAACGCACAAACACGCACGCACGCACACATGGAAAGTCTTTCACAATTTCTACAATCTCCTAAATGATATCTCATTCAGTTTTTTCTCTCATTTTTAAATCATGTTCAGTAGATTTCTTTCACTGGTCCTACAAACGAAAACCCCACAAAGAGGCCTCCATCTATCCTATTAGTGGAATATTAACAATGAGAGAGAGACAGGACGCCCATTAGTTTAACCCCCTCTTCTACCAAACACACACACATTCTGCTAACGCCCACACCCTGAGCCTCTCATGATCAAACACACACACTTGAGTCGTCTCTTGAGCCGACCTCACTCAAGACACTGCGTCTCCTGAGCCGAGTGCCCGAGGGCCAGAGATTTGAGGGCGGAAAGCTTTTAAAGCCAATTAAATGGGGCTTCTTAGAGCACCGGCGCTCCCTTTTAATGCCAAACCCTGAGCTCTTCTAGAGTTTATGCTAACCCTTTTACTCCCACTAACGCTGAATACAGTCAAGTTTTACCACCCCGAGCATTATACTACCATATGCTTGTTAATATTGCTGAAGAATTTGTGGTTATGGAGTCAGGAGTTGACTGTGATTGAAACTCTCAAAACAGTGCAACTATTATGTGCGAATAGCATTAGTTGCTATGATGTAGCTCCCTGTTTTGCTGTTCATTGCCAATAAATAGCCTACACTACAGGCTTACTTCTTTGAGACCACCCAATATTGTAGCCTTTGCCTCAGTTCCTCCATGCTAGTTAACCTCCTCCTTATTTGCCGTTCTTCCCACTGAGAGTAAAGAGGGATAAAAACAGTGGGACATATAGAGAAAAAGGAAACAGCAGGACCTAAACCCTTTCTCTTTCATGTGACACCACCAGGGCAAACAGTCAGGAAGGCATTCCTCTTTCTTTCTTACTCTCTGATTTCCTCTCCTCCGCTCAAACTTTAGTCCTTCCTCTCCACTCTCCATCCCATGGAGCGTGGTGACAGCTCAGACAGCCAGACTCCTTAATTCCTCTCTTACTCCGTTAATCTGTCATCTTTATCAGGCCGAGGAGGGGGGGCTGTGTGAAGAGAAGGGGGGGAATGACAGGCGGGGACGTAGGGTGGGCCGCCAGCCGCAGCCCCCCGATCAATCTCCACATTACAGCTGACAGAATGGTGCTAATAACTTATTGATCCCCCTCCGTGCGCCGGGGCCTCCGCCGGCCCTGAAAGCCCTGCCATTGATTGGCTTACAGGCCAATAGAGCTGGGCGAGGGAGGGGAGGGAAGGGTGGGTGATGGAGATGGGGAGAGAGGCGCGTTTGCTCACGCTGAGGGAATGATGTGCCACCTCCAAAACTTGCAAGTGTACACAGAGTAACACCGTTCCTCTGTTTGTCATGTTCTGTGTTTTCAACAGGAAGACAGACATTTAGAGCAATGTGGAAGAATACAACTCAAGAAGAAGAAGAGAGGAACTCATGGGCTTCCACTGACACTGGCTGACCTTAAAGGGGAAATATGTGGCATGTATAAATGTCCCATTTGCAATACAGTATAGTTATTCAACACAATTAAAAACTAAACTCACAGGCTATTTATGCAAGATTTTATTCAGTAGGTTTTTTGTGTAAAAAGTATCTGGTCTACAGGTGTGGATGCACTGAAGTAATGTTTTAATTAACAAGTAACCGCTGTTTGTTTATAATAAGTTATGGGCTGAGATTGTTATGATAGTAAATACATAGGTTATACATTTCAATCAAATTGTTTTAATTAACTAGCATCCTCCGCCTGATGTTCTGCTTTCTTTGACTTCTGTAGTCGTCTGCCAGTCCAGCAATTATATATATATATTTATATGCAAAGAAACAATATTTTCACTTACTGTTGTCAGTACTAACAAAGTAAGAACAGTGTTGCTTAGCAATATATTACTCTAAACATCAGGAAGGGACAGAAAAAAGCAGTTTGATAAAAAAAAAAACAATATGTATTTTTTGTATTTACTCAGCCATTAATGTAGGCAGCTGCGAGATAGTTTTATTGACAGAAGCATAGGAACAATAACCCTGAGAGGCCATTCTGTTACGGCAGGACAATTACTTTCCTATTACAGAGTGGGATGTTTTTAAATATTTACAACCCACATTTCCCTTTTTGCTTCTGCATGACAGAGATAATATCATCAGAAATCCTTGTGTTTACTTTTGTTTAGAGTTCCCTTTCTACGCTAATCATGTAATAACTAGCTGGTAATACTTTAAAAGCAATCCTCACTCTCAATCAGTTTGGAAGAAAAAGGTCTTGCACAAACACGCTGGGCTGCAGATTCACACGCAAGCAAACATCTAAAACCAGGCATTTAAAACCACACACGGAAAGGTGCACACACACAAAAATGTGCTCAAGCCCCAAACCACTGCTGCAACCCCCAACCAACCACACACACACACACACACACACACACACACACACACACACACACACACACACACACACACACACACACACACACACACAGGCAATAACTGCCTCTGGGAGTCTGAGTACAGGGAGCAGAGGAGACGGAGAGTGGCGGTCCAAAACACCTTATCTGCCTGTTTGAGTCTCCGGTCTGACCGCAGAGCCACGGTTTACAGTCTCCACAGGCAGCCAGACTCTCAGCGTCGGCGCCCCTGCCTCCCCCTCCCGCCTCCCTCCCCCTCTCACAGAGCCTCTGAATAGCCAGCGGCTGGGGAGTGAGAGAGCGAATGAGGGAGGGAGGGAGGGAGGGATGGAGAGAAGAAGAGAAGGAGGAAGGCAGCCCTCCTGTCTGTCCCTCAGATTTAATTAACGGCCCACTACGGCGCAGAGACGACCCGGCAAGCCTGCTTCCCTTTCCTCCTGACCCACACACACACAGAGACACACACACACACACAGACACACACACACACACACACACATACAAAGATACACACAGAGCCATCCGCCGCCATAGCTGCCGTCTGCCCTCCCCTGATACCGGCACCAATCATTCATCTCTCTTTCCTCTGTCTCTCTATTTCCAAATGTTTCTCCCATCACTGCATCACTGTTGCAGACTTTTTTTTCTCTTATCCTTAATTCCTCTGCTGTCTTACTCGCTGCCTTTCATATTCTCTCCTCCACAGTTCATTGAATGACGTTAAACACTTTTGGAGGATAAGACAAATAGGAGCGTTGACTAACGGAACAGAGTAAACACAATATCATAGACAGTGAGCTGCATTTAGTCTCATCTATCTTAAAGTCAAATAAACCACTGCTCTAAAACGCCATACGCCCACCTACAGAATGTATTTGGACACCAATTTGAACTTGTGTTGATTTTGTGTGGGCACGCATCTGTATAAATATGTGTTATTTGTGTGTAATTGTGTGTTTGTTAACCGGTGTGCGTCTAATTTCACTGGCAGACAGAATTAGAGCCAGTGGCTGATCGGATTGGACTTGTTTACAGACACAGAGCGAGCTGCTTAGGCAGCCTGTTAAATCTCCCTTTAATGCTCAAACGAACAGATTTTAGGGGCTTGGACCCCCCTCGGCGTGGGCCACACTGTGTTCACCCCTTCCTCCATCAACCCCCACCCACCTGCCTCTATCCCCTTGTGTGTTCCTCTATTAAGATAACTACCCAGGGCTCTGATTTCTCCATTAAGTTTAGCGGCTGATTAGGCCAGTATTTGGGTGAAAATCCTTCCCAAACCAGGGTTTAAGACACTGGCTGGGCTGGCTGTTGAGCAGTCTAATACCCTTCACCTTCCACCCACTCTGCCTGATATCACAGGCACCGTATGGAAAATGAGCAGACAGTAGAGATGAACACCCAGAGAGAAGTCGTTGGGTCTGTACTGATTATGCCACTAGCTGTGCCTTTAATGTTATAAGAAGGGACAAACCCAGGGCAAATTTCATAAGGGGTAAATGCATTTGTTAAAACATTTGTTTGGATTGGATGATGCAATTTATTCGATTCAGAGTCATCATATATTTGAAAAAATCCTGACAATTATAGTTTATATTGATAATAATTACTATAGTTGATACTAAATTGATTTCCATGTGGGAGGGCATAAAGTAGGGTCATCCTTGCAGAGGTTTTAATGTGAGATGTAAATCATACCTTGTTGGGGTTCAGTACCCAACAAAAACAAATGTCATTAAAAAAAGGTACATCACTCTGGTGCACTTTGTTGAAAGCTGAATATTGATATCCACAGAGGCTGCTTTACAAACATATGTTTACCCGCACAATATCCTCATACAAGCATCTTGACAATTAAATGATTAAATGCTGTCTGTATTCTGTCTGTAAGCTGTTAGAAAAGCTCTAAGCACATGCACACCATGGTTCCTCTGCTTATATTAAACTGGATTAATGGCAAACAAAGCTATTTATTCAGAAGTAATTTAAAACAGGGGGTTTAACACAAATCCTGGAGTGGGGCAGAAATGCAGGAAGAACATTAAGTAATCAACTTGAGAGCAACCTTAAGGAATGAGTAATAAGCTTATGTTACATTCTCCCAAATCACATTAATTAGAGTCAATGAAATACGTAACGGAACATTTATATATGGTAGAGAAGATGTAAAGGGGGATATATCATCACGTTGGAGGCGAAGAAAGAAAGAAAAGAGAAAGAAAAAGAAAAGAAGAAATCCTGACAACCCTTTCGAAAACACACACAAACACACACACCGGATGAACGGGGGTCCTACCTGTGTGTCCAGTAGTGGTGTTGTGGTCGGAGGCTGACTCGCCCTCGGGCATGCCGTGCTGTCTGGTGTGGTGCAGGTTGGAGATGATTGTAGAGAGGTCACCGTCACGACTGTAACACACACACAGACACACAGGAAAGAGAGGTTTAACACATTTAAAAGCGGCCCTTAACAAACGTAATTCCCCAATGCAATCTAAATGAATGTTTAATATAGCAGCAGCAGCAGCAGCAGCACATAAATGCATGCTATTTTACACACTATATACAGTATGTATTTAACACACAAATCCTCCTTCCAGACAGCACTCTCATAAACGCATACCTCCACACAGACTCAGAAGCTACAAGTGGCTGTCCTGTCAACAGGCTTTCAGCTCTGAGGTGTGTAATACACTCTGACAGATACTGCATGCAGCACTTCTGGGTCTCATCCCTACTCATCTTCCACACTAAGATGCATTAACGAACATATTCACAATTCATAAGCAGTTCAGCAGCTTAAAACCTGATTATTGCTCTTGATTACTTGGGTCGCCAACTGCTGTTTTTAGAGAAATATGGCAATTGAAAAGTGTGAAATGACAGATGATACAAAATACCAGACAAACCATGAACCGGTAGAATGAATCTGGTGTATATGATTATTGGATTCAGGTTTTTTATTGTCATACGTTTCAACAGGAGAAGTCCACTAAAGTCTCTCAAATACCATGTCCTGCCCTCCAGCACCCAAAGGAGGAGCAGGAGGAGGCTTCACAGAGTAAGCCCAGGTCTGGTTGGAGCCACTCTGTCGCTCCACCAGGCGCCTCTCTTACCTCCCCACACTGGACCCAAACAACTGTGTCATGGAGGTATTTCATTTGCAACCTGATTACCATCCAGATCGCATTAAACGACATAATGATGGGAAATAGGCGTTTAGAGTTTGAGGGAGTATAGCAGCGGTGCAGTGCCAGCGTAGTCACAGTGTAATGGCAAACAGCTTGTGTGGTAGGAGAGGTAGAGGGTTGAATATATCAGGTTTTGGTCTAATATAATTTACAGTAAAATGATTGTGAAACGTATGCTACATGGAAGAGCATTTGAAGCTAAAACGAATAGGAAACAAAATGATAGTGTACATTATGTTCATAAAATAAGCCTATAAACATGCAGCATTTAAACACGTCAGTTTGATGGTATCAGCATCCTCTTGTGTCAGCGGGAATCTCGTTTATAGGCTTAGCTGGCAACTTTATTGAAAGCAGAATCATGTATGAAGGGGGTCTGGTATGACACGGCGAGCACAGTTTATGGGACAGAAGCGGTGAATGGTTCTTAGCTGCCACCACTATGACGAGGCCACACTGTTTGCGGCTGCTGGATTTGGGTTTTTACAGTCCCATGATTACAGGCTCCTGCTGTAATGTCAGGCTATTGGTCGCCAAGCTGTTTTCCACACGCTAACAGAAAAGATGAAGGAAAGCATCGAAGGGCCTAACACTAGCCATGCTGGCTTTACAAGTGATCAATCGGTGACAGAGAACCAATGACTCAGGAAAAAGTCCCAGAAAAAACAATCACCACCAGTTGCTTAGTAAAAGGACGCTTGATTGGACTGTGGCAAACTCTTTAGGCTAATTATAGACGTCTTATTTTAGAGTATAACTTGCTAAAATTAGTAGGTATCTGTGTCTGAGAGCCCAATGGTTTTCTTCAAAAAGAAAATGAGATGCAGGGTTTTCTTAAATTGAGCTTAAATTCATATAATAATGTATCTGCGTCAACCAGTGACTCTAACAAAAAACACATCACACAAACTGCAGTTACACACTCTACAGTTAGAAACTAAAGCCAAATCACTCAACCACCTAGCTGCATATTACACCACCCTCTATCCATAATTTAAAGTGATCATGATAATGCCATCCTGAACTTCTCCGAGAGGTGACGGGGTAATTATCCCGTGGCAAAGTGGACGCTCTAAGCCATGAACGGCAAGGACATTGTTAGTGGGGGTAATTAGCACACTTTTCCTGAGCTGTCCCGCCTGGGCTTGGGCTAATGAGGGCCTAGCCCTATCCCCACCCCTCGCTGCCCTTCCTCAACCCCCGCCCCCTCTCTTTCTCTGGGTGGAGGGAAGGTCATACTCAAGCCCTGGAAGATGAAGGGGGGGTTCGAGACGGTGTTTAAGACCCAGTCACCTGAGTCAGCGCTCCCTAAGGAGCTCCTAAGGCCGGGGACGGCTTGGAAGGACGGGGGCCTTGGAGAGGATGGGGGGTGGGGGTGTATTGAAGCTGTTGGGCCTGATAGCGAAGAAGGACATGAGCTCCCTTCTTATCACCTAGGTGCACACCGGAGACAATCATCTCATCCTCAGCTCATCCCTAAACTGGTCAATACCATACCCCTCTTCTCTGGCCACAGGACAGACGCACTGACCCAGAAACGGGATGACAAATATGTGTTAATACTCAACGTTTGTCATGGATACCGCTGGTATCCAACATTACTGAGATACTACACAGTCTGGCTATAACTTATCCAATCATGCTATGACTCATTACTACTTCTTTCTTTTAATGGATCTTGTCTAAGCAATCAAAATACACATATTGCATCACTTATCACAGTCTTTGCTACTCAATACTCAAATATGTGGTAGATTACTTTTCTATATTTTCACATTAATGATAAATAAACTTTGTATTGCTAAATCATGGATCTCCATAAAAATGCTATAAAAATGGCTAGTTTGAGAAAAATTAATCAGTCAGAACACTTCTAGGGGCTTTTTCTTTGAGTAAGAAAAGGTTGTGCTCCTTCTACCATTCCAGTAGGCGTTACCATTCAAAGTCAGTCTGAACAGCATGAAAAATCTCTATTCCTGGCAAAGGCAGTCGACTCATTGTAAATGCCCAGTGGTGGCCTGCTGTGGCATTGGCACGCGGAGCTGAGGTGGCGGGGCTGGAGGTCACAGCGTGAGCTGGCAGAAGCTGGCAGCTCAGGCACCCTGACGCCATGTCTCACACCACCACTGGGAAAGTGCTGACAGACAGACAGCAGGGATGTGAAGGTGGAGAAGTTGGATGAGGAGGGGGAGAAAAGAGAGACAGCGAAGAGAGAGAAAGGTTGCAAGCGCTGTGTGTAACCTCTTGTGCTTGCAGGTTTCCTGTGTGACCCCTTTTGCTCTAAAAACAACAGCCCCAACACACAGCCTCTAACCTGCACAGGTGGCCAAGAGCAACATTCAAATACTACCAGGCAGTATGTAATATTCAACAACCAGAGCATGGTGGGAAGTAGATCTGGACAAATGCTGAGCAAAATAATGAATGAGTCAAGTTTCAATCATGGTCCCGCAGGAGGAGATGTGAAAGCATTTTATTTTAAAATGATCTAAACTTTTGGCCCTCAAAAATTAAAGACTGAATATCAATCTGTTCTGTATACATTTTGTCTGATTCTTATTGGTAATGGAAACACAATTGTCATGCTGCTCACAGTTTGATAGAAACCCCACAACTGGGAACACAGCAGAGGGGTTAATGAATAAATACAGAAATGGATACATAAATAAGTAAGAGTAGCCTGGCTTCACTTGGACTTCACATCTCCTTGTTGTTGCTCTGCTGTACAAGCTGACATGAGGTCGATAAGGCAGCCAAGGGAGTAAAGGAAAAGTACAATGGAAACATGGTAAGTTTGCCGTGTTGCATTAAAGTTCACTGAGCACTGAGCTATGCACTTACTGCTGGATTTACTGCTAATTTCTCCTTATGAGATGTTTTTTGCTCATATTTCTCTAATTTTTCTAATTCAGAACAATAGTTTTAATGAAAATGATCTGTAGTATTTACAGTCTAATGTAATGTGTTGGGGCACACTGTGGCACCATGGACAGTGCATTAAAGGGCCAGATCTCCTAATATATTTGGCTGATTCAAACAAAGTGTAAGACGTGATTAGTAAACACTGTATTCTTTACATGTGGAAATGATGAAACTCACGCTTCAATCAAACGCCAAATCTGAGACTAAAATTACTGGAAAACTGCTGACCATTTTTTCGTTGATCCTGTGGGAGTTAACAAACAAAACACTGTCTATGTGAACACAACGGACGTCTTGCTGCTAGCCAACGCCCAATCAACTACTAAATTGCTGTGACTATGTTGCCATGGTAAATGCGTGTAAACAAGGCCAAAGATTCTTGAAGCGGAAAGCTCCTCTACAACGCTATAAAACCTCCAAGTGCACTAATTAGTGCTTCAGGGTAGAGCCACTTCCAGTAATTTCACACTGTCCGTGACCTCTTACTGGCATAAGGCAATGACACAGTTGTTCAATAAAGCCAGAGGACAAAATGTCAAATGCAAAACACATACAGGGGCTTCAATATCTTTTTTTTTCTCTGCTTATTGCACAGATTGAGTACAGACCTCCATTAACCAAAATGTGCCAATGCTGCTCAATGAAAATATATGTTCTCATATAGAGAGGTTGGCTGTAAAACAAAATAAGAAGTAAAATCTGATTATTTTAAATGTATATGAACAATTGCTTTCACACTTCAATGCTTTAACCAGGAATATCAAAATGACACCCACATTAAATCAAACGTTGCTGCTGTATGCAGAGAAGCCAGAAGATAACCTATTATATGAGATGTTGGTAGGTTAGGGATGTTGGTTTCAATCAGCTACGCCCTGCTGAGTGGATGAGAACAGGACAATATGGCCCTTACTGTATATGAAGACAGTGTTAGCCTCTGACAGTCAGATTAAGTTGAACATAAACCAAACAACTTGGTATGTTTTAATATTTTTTTTGTAGAAGGAAGCATTTGCATATGTAAGTGATCAAGTAGCAAATGATCTAATGCATGATTCAAAATTATGAAACTGCCTTTGTTTTTGGTGATGCTAATAATGGGTATGGAGGATTTCTTTCTTCAGACGTCAGCGGGTGTAACATAAAATCTACGCTGGTTGGCGGGTAATTACCCCGACTCTCAGTCAGCACTTTTCAATCAAAGCCTTGTTATCTTCAGGCGACTAAAACAAACCCTAAGAGAGGCTTTGTCTTGCCCCTCTCAAGTCACTAAATTCAAAAAGTACCAGTATCAAATATTTAGTCCCTGAGCTGAAATCCATAAATCAGTGTTAGAAAAATGTCAGATAGAAACAATTTGCAGCACTGATACCAAGGCAATACACAAAGGTGATAATAAAACGTGACTTTGTTTTTGCCTTTCAGTTCCTGTGTGTTTCACAGGAGCATCACTAGACGTTGGTTCTCACACCCCAAGGATCTTCTGCATACACCTTATTGTGATAATGATTATTTGGTTTGCTCTGTGATTTGGCAGCAGTTCAGTCTCTAGGTGCTCGGTGCTTATTCAGCAGCATGAGCACAGATCTGTGGAGAACAAACTAAACTAATTGTCAGCAGAGCCAGCAAATATTAACATTAATCTGGTTAAAAGAAGGTGTCCCTGTGTATAATGAACTTGAGGGGGCGACCGGATGAGAATGATGAATGAGCTTCGACAGCAGCACTTGTTGACACTGACAGACAAATCCTCTCAATACAAAACCAGACACCTGAACCAACCAAACAATCTGCTCTAATGTTTCAGAGAGTGATATTTTATATTAAACTATACACTAAAACACTGGAGTGGAGTTGAAAGCCATAAATATCTTCTAATGTAATGCCACCTCCAGTTTACTGCATAAGCCTTACGTTAGGATATATTTTTTGGATGTTCGGCTTCGACGTGCCGATGTAGATTAAAGCATAATGACAGTAGGTAGGTTGAAGCAACCAAGTGGGTGAGACACAGTGCTGCCGCCAGCCTTGATGATGTGTGGATGAGACAGCACTGATACGCTCACACATGTATACAGAGGCCCTGTATTTTTCACATCCATTGGCTAAATCCAATTTGTTAAGACCCTTCTACGACTCACTTACGAAGCTGCGGTCAATGGAAATCACATTTCCGTGATTGGACATCCCATTATCCCGTTCGTCCAGACCCACACGAGGGGATAAAGCAGGGCTGAGACGGATGCCCAGGACAGACCGGAGCCGCGGCTCCAGCGAGTCCGTCGCCTTTCAAAGGGTAAGAGCCTGACATATTAGTCATAAGTGTTCTTTAAATTCATTATCATCTTAACACGCCAGCGGCACAAGTGTCAGGGGGAGGGGAAGCCCTCTTAAATGAGGTTACTGGATCCATTTAAGGCTTCACAGTTGCTGTGCTGTCCGCCGTGTCACACGCAAGTCTCAAGACATGAAAAACATCCCCTTCAGTAATGAGGTTGCACAAGCTGCTTATAATGCAGCTGGGGACTTTCTGAGGTTAATCAATGAACAGCTTCTGCATTATGTCTGTCCGTAGCCTGTCATGTACATAACAAGTCATCACAAATCTCTGTGATGTTTGTTCCAGATGGAGAATGTCTTTATTTCTGTCACTTCAAATGGATCAACGATTGTATAGGGAAATCATTGAAAAAATATGTATAACTGCATCTTTTATTCAGATCATGTTTGTAGCCGAGTGTAGGCCATTAGATATTGGGAGCGCCTATTTTCATTTCTTAATGTGGTAACCTCAGTGTAACCCTGCATGGGTGCATTTGCATGTACTGTATGAAGATGTGAACAGAAATCTTCACTTGACTCCGGACAGGATTTTTGTAAATGTAGTTTACAATTGTATGACCAGTGCAATCTTATGTGTATCCATTAGTGTGCAATTGAATGATATATATAAAAAAGCAACTTTGTTTAATTTAGAAAATAAACCAAAGACTTACTGTTTATAGATACTAGGTGTTTTTAAAAGGCAGCATGTACTAGTGAATGTTTGTGTTTTCAACTAAATTAATATTATTATATATGAAATGATAATCATATTTAAAAATGTGCACTTTATATAATAATTTGCTGCACAAATGGTTGCATATCTTAATGAACATAGATTCTAAAGATATTTTTTTATAACCATTTTAAAACATTCTTAAAGCTTAAGATTAAAAGGTATATCATCATGACATGAAGACGTTACCACCTATAAATGTTTTATATGAAATACTCCCAAACCACTCCCAAGCACAGCATGGGATGCGATGACTCAGGTAACTCAGCCTTTCAATATCAAGTCAAGACAGATTCACTGAGACTTGGCAGGAGCTACAAGACGCAAACCAACGAACCAATTAACACGTTCAAAGCTCAGCACACATCCTACCATTAGACATCCCAAACGCTGGAAGTTTATTTTCGAAACACGGTTCTTTGTCTGTTCGTCTCAAAATGAGCCTTTAACACACAATGTTGCACCCTTCTGCTTTTAGACAGAAACTGACCAAACATAGGAACTGAATCATTTTCAATTCATGAGATGTTCTTTTTGTAGCCATCTCAATACACAACGTTTGCATATTTTAGACGTTGAAGATATCGCCACAGGAGTCACACGTGCTCTTACCTCTTTCTCATGATACTGTAATGCAACTCGTCCTCCTGTTTGATGTGGGCATGATCCCCACTGGCCCGCTCGCTGCCTTCACTGTCGTCACTGCTGAAGATGGAGGCCAGCTCCTTCTTGGGCACCCGGTTTGGGGGGAGGGGGATGGTTCGTTTCTCAGCCAAGCGCCCGCGGTTCTGCAAAACAAAGAAGAAGGGAACACTTTAGCAACAGGATTTACAGCTTGTCAAATTGTTGAATGAGATACTTCATTTGCTTGTGTTTGATGTTCTGACAGTTTTTTTTTCTCGTTTTGATCATTTGCATGATTCTTTTATTGAAGATTCAACACGTTAAGTTCTGTCAGCAAATGTACATACAAGACGAATCTAAATATTTAGCGAGACGGCAGTTTTTGTCTATGCCCCTCCAAGCGACAATTCAAATAAAAAACTTGATCAAACTGAAAAAAACAGTTCAATGGTATAAGGAAACCAACAATATCTACCTTTATATAATTAACACTTTGAAATAAAACCTTGTCCCAAATAACTTTTACATGGATCCATTTGTACCATGATGGGCGGTCTAAATAAAAAGTACCTGAGATTATTGGACAGGGCTGAGGGCAGAGTTTTTTAACCATTGCATCAGTAACACAAATAACTGTTTTCAGGTTTTATTTATAAAGCACATTTAAAAGCGATTTTTGGTCGAGCCAAAGTGCTGTACATGTAATAAAAACACATTACTACAAAACACAATAAACGACAATAAATTACAACAGATATAACTTAATAGTAGTTTTGGAATATCTTCATCAGAAACTAGAATAATGTAATACAAGCTTCCAGCTAAAAAAGTGCTTCAACTGCAGAAATAGAAATGCCAGTGCAGCTGGGACCAATGAGCCACACTGAAACCAAAACAACAGAATCTGTTGTATTGACATTCAGCCTCCAGCTAGATATCCTAAAGTTACACATACTCTTGGTGAAAAGAATTATAAAGTAATACTGAAAAAATCCTCCAATACTTTACATTAGTTCAACTGGATTTTTCCGCATTAACTTCTTTTACACCAGGCTGTTTTTTTAAGCACCAAACACAGAAGTCACGTCTGCCATACTTTTCTACTCTACAACCAAACGGATATGGAGAAAAGTTGGTTCGTGAAATGAGTGTTTATTTTACTCCAATGCTGCCAGGAGTATGCGGAGAGAAGAAGGGATAAAGAGGAGAGAATGGCCCTAGGGATGTTAGGAAGTGAAGCTGGGCGACCTTTAATGTGACCTGAAGAGGTCACTGCAGATTAACATGGTCCTATCACAGAGATAACGGAGGAGGGGGAGAAAGAGGGGAAAGAGGAGTAGAGAAGGAAAGAGATGGAAGAAAGGAGAAGAGATTGAGCCGGGGAGGAAGTCAGTGAGGAAGCTGAGGGGAAAAGTGAACAAGTGAGAGAGAGGGGGAAGTGGGTTTGTATAGAAAAGAAAGGTGCAAAAATAAATAAATGCAGAAATGAAAGAGAATGTGGTGAATCAAAACATGAGAGCAAGAGAAAGCCTCACAGAAGGAAAGTCTGTCCGGTGAGGAGTGGACTTGGATTTGAAACTATTTCCCCCTCTCTCTCTCTCTCTCTCTCTCTCTCTCTCTCTCTCTCTCTCTCTCTCTCTCTGTCTCTCTCTCTCTCTTTGTCTCTCTCCCTCCCTCTCTCTGCGCCTACATCTCTGACTCCCGGACGCCTTTAAGTCCTCGAGCTATCCCTTCCGCCACACGCAACCCCACTCTCCACCATTCCTCCCTGCTCCCTCCTTCCCCTGTTCTTCCATCCCAGGAAGCGCGGCAGCATGAGTGGCAGGCGGGGGCAGGAGGAGGGATTTGGGGGCTCCTAGCCAAGAGGCAAACAGGTGCAGCCCCTCTGGAGTCTCTCAAATGGCAGACATTAAAAAGAGTTTGGGGGGTGGAAGACAGAGAAAGATGAAAACATCCCCCAGGATGAGCAGGCCACAGACTTCTGCACATCTCACTCCTTCTCTTTTTTATCATGCCTTGCCAGAAAAGAGGTTTTTCCTCCTTTCTTCTTTCCTGTTCTGCTCCAGTGTTTGAGGACAGTGAAATACTTTCTTATACTTCTGCTCTTTCCACACAAGGCCTTGCTGTAGAAAGTTAGTGCTAGAGCTTCAGACATGGCGCATTAGAGGAAGGAGCCGAACATCAGAACAACAATTTTCCATGGATTCAACCACAGTTTCATCAGAAACACAACTTTCAAATATAAACTCTCCACCTCGAGGTCTCTTAATGCTGTCTTCATATTGTCAGGACAAAACTTAAAATTGCAAATGCACGTTACCCTCACCATATACACACTCATAAGCATGCACACTCTCTCACACACCTGTTCCTTAGAATTCCCCACTAAAGCAGGGGATTTTACTTGGAGCATGCCAGCAAAATAGTGCACACAAGAATAGTTTGTCTAAGACCAGTCGTGACTGCTGTGTGAGTGTGTGTGTGTGAGTGTGTGGACAACCACCCACATGGCCGTGACATACCCAGGCTGACAGAACCCCTCCCCCCCCCCCCCCCCCCCCCCCCCTTCCTCCCTCTTCTCTCCTCCCGGAAAGCCCCGATCCTTTCTTTAGTGGCACTGACGCAGAACTGGGGGTGAGCTCCCACTGCTTCCGGCAACACTTCCGCAGCACGGGGGAGGGCTCTCCGAAACAAAACACGAAGCAAACACACCCCTGGCAGCCCACGTAGGAGCGCTCAAAGGAAGGGCGCCTGAGCACTCAGGCACGTACGTGCACACACACGAACACGGTGTGTGTGCACAAAGCTGAGGCAACCTTACTGTGTGTGGTCAACCTCCTTTCAGCCATGGAAAAAAGTCTCTCATAAAAGTCCCACTAAAAGCACCTCTATGAATATCACCTCCCACGCTTTCTTTCTGTCAGTCAGGCAGCCAAGAAATATATCTGGGCTTCACATTTACACTCACACTAAAGACACACATATTAACGTACATACATACAGATGCACGTGCACACAACAATGTATACATGACGTGAAATGGTCATATCAGAACATGACGAACATTCAGAAAAACCTGCCATTAACACATAGCTATATTAATGTAATAGACTGTATTATCACACTAGAAGTTGAACAGCCTACTAGAGTAAAGTACTGGATATAGTGTAATCTGGGTCTACTTCATCTAAGAGAGTCTTGAGTAATAACAAAAGTCAAAAGGACTTCAATATGGTCATTAATAAGACCCATACATCTACGAACATTTTCCTTTAGGATGTAGATATGGGTAATAAAGCTTTAGTGTTTCATAAATGTAGCAAGGGAATTGTGAAAATGCAAAAGGAATGTTGTTGTATTAAAAAACAATAGAGGCTAATATCAAGGCTACATGTTTGCCAGCAAAGACGTTTAAATTATAAGGCAATCTAGTGCATTCTCTCTAAATGTATTTCAGACTTTTAAATGAGCTCTTGGTGGAAAAAGAGGACTAATAAGTGTTTTTTGTTTTTTTTCTCCTTGCGTTATTTCCTGAAAGGTGCAGGGCCCTGCCGCTGGCTCCAACCAGCATGAGTGAGCACACACCCACACACACATGCATATACACACACGCGCACACACACACACACACACACACAGCGGTAGCCGGCCGTGACATTCCTGCAGCTGCGGCGCTCTCTCTCCCTCGCACGCGCCCCCCCAGCGATCTCCCTGGGGGACGAATGCCTAATGAGTCACGCGCCTGTCTGCCGTTACCTCGCTATGTGTGTGTGTGTGTGTGTGTGTGTGTGTGGGTGTGTGGTGTGTGTGTGTGTGTGTGTGTGTGGTGTGTACGTGTGTGTGTGTGTGTGTGTGTGGGTGTGTGTGGTGTGTGTAGGTGTGTGTACGTGTGTGTCGTGTGTGTGGTGTGTGTGTGTGTGCATGCGTGTGTGTAAGTGTGTGTATGTGGTGTGTGTGGTGTGTGTGTGTGTGTGTGTGTGTGTGTGTGTGTGTGTGTGTGTGTGTGTTTGTGTGTGTGTGTGTGTGTGTGTGTGGAGGCTGGATGGCGGGCCGACTTGGCGCGAGCACTAGGGGAAAGGGGGGAGGGGGAATGAGGAGACGACAGGGAAGGAGAGAAGAAAAAATGAGCGTGAGGAGGGTGGGAGATGGGGAGGGGATGAAGCGGTCATTACCATGCTCACATAAGAGCTCTGAAACAAGGCCAAAACAAACAATTTGTCTACTGTGTGCATGTGTAAGCCTGAAATGCAATTCTTCAAAAAATAAAGATCCTCACTTTGTTTAGTCTCATCCCCTCATCTCTGATCCTGACATTTTCACAGGTGCACCCATGAAAGGTAATTAGCTTCAAATGTGTCAGCTTTCATCAAATTGAGATCGCTCAGTATGTAAATGAGATTACTTTGAATAATCAGATTAAAGTAATAGTTTGATTAAAGTGTTTACATGGTTCGCAGTAACCGGATTTCGACAGTAACCCAATAATAAAGTTAATATAATGTGTTTGATAGTCAGGATAATGTGTAAGGATTTCTAGAAGCTGGTAGAAAATCTCTTATTAGTGCCACAAAACAAGAAGAAACTGAGTTATTGTTTTTCCTTTCATTAATTTTCAGCGCACCCTACTTTGTACTTTGTGTAACATGAAAGCTTTTTCACCACTAGCCATGACACTGTTTTTTATTGAGACACCCATTTGCATCGGCTGCACTCAATGACCTTTCTGGTGCATGTTCAGAATTAAAACACAAAGAAATCAGACAATGGCACACTATACTGTGCAGGCTGTGAAAAAACTGACAAGCCTTATATTTGCCTAATCTGATTATAATCAAATTAGTAGTGTGCCAGTTAAACAAAGTTACTCGAATATCTGCAAAAAAGCAAAAATCAATAACGAACAGATGTGAATAAAACGCAAACATATATTTAGAAACCTGTTGAACTCTTCTGGTGTAAGAATATAAAGCTCATATCGACACGTATTTAAGGCAATTAGATAAATAAATGCATTCCTCCACCACACACACACCAATTGCCACAAGTACGCAAACATTGCTCACTGTATGGTCCTGTTTACAGAATAATACTCTTAAACTAATTTAATATAGCATATTCTATCAACATTTATGTAATTATTATCAATGCCAGAGTTCTTAAGCGT